CAACTACACATCACAAAAAGTAGAACTGCAGCATCAAGTAATGCTACTGCCTAAATTACTTTAAAGGACAGACACCTAATGTAGAAGACAGACATCTGATGTAGAAGACAGATGTCTAAGGTAAGAGACAGACTCCTAATATCAGAGACAGACACCAGATGTTGGAGACAAATATCTAAGGTAGGAGACCGATATATGACATAGAAGATAGAAACCTGATGTAAGGCAGATATCTGATGTTGGAAACGGGGGACAGACACCTTATGTAGGAGACAGACAGTGACCTGATGTAGGAGACAGAAACCTTATGTAGGAGACAGACATTAACCTGATATAGGAGACAGACAGTGACCTGATGTAGGAGACAGACACCTGATGTAGGAGACAGACACCTGATGTAGGAGACAGACAGTGACCTGATGTAGGAGACAGACAGTGACCTGATGTAGGAGACAGACAGTGACCTGATGTAGGAGACAAGACACCTGACGTAGGAGACAGACAGTGACCTGATGTAGGTCACAGACAGTGACCTGATGTAGGAGACAGACACCTGATGTAGGAGACAGACACCTGATGTAGGAGACAAGACACCTGATGTAGGAGACAGACAGTGACCTGATGTAGGAGACAGACACCTGATGTAGGAGACAGACAGTGACCTGATGTAGGAGACAGACACCTGATGTAGGAGACAGACAGTGACCTAATGTAGGAGACAGACACCTGATGTAGGAGACAGACAGTGACCTAATGTAGGAGACAGACACCTGATGTAGGAGACAGACAGTGACCTGATGTAGGAGACAGACAGTGACCTGATGTAGGAGACAGACAGTGACCTGATGTAGGAGACAGACAGTGACCTAATGTAGGAGACAGACAGTGACCTGATGTAGGAGACAAGACTGATGTAGGAGACAGACAGTGACCTGATGTGACCTGATGTAGGAGACAGACACCTGATGTACCTGATGTAGGACAGACAGTGACCTGATGTAGGAGACAGACACCTGATGTAGGAGACAGACAGTGACCTAATGTAGGAGACAGACACCTGATGTAGGAGACAGACAGTGACCTGATGTAGGAGACAGACACCTGATGTAGGAGACAGACAGTGACCTGATGTAGGAGACAGACACCTGATGTAGGAGACAGACACCTGATGTAGGAGACAGACAGTGACCTGATGTAGGAGACAGACAGTGACCTGATGTAGGAGACAGACACCTGATGTAGGAGACAGACAGTGACCTGATGTAGAGATAGACACCTGATGTAGGAGACAGACAGTGACCTGATGTAGGAGAGAGACACCTTATGTAGGAGACAGACATGTGACCACCTGATGTAGGAGACAGTGAACCTTGTAGGAGACAGACACCTGATATAGGAGACAGACAGTGACCTGATGTAGGAGACAGACACCTGATGTAGGAGACAGACAGTGACCTAATGTAGGAGACAAGACACCTGACGTAGGAGAAAAACACCTGATGTAGGTCACAGACAGTGACCTGATGTAGGAGACAGACAGTGACTAGACATCTGATGTAGGAGACAGACAGTGACTAGACATCTGATGTAGGAGACAGACAGTGACTTAATGTAGGAGACAAGACACCTTATGTAGGAGACAGACAGACACCTGATGTTGGAGACAGACAGTGACCTAATGTAGGAGACAGACAGCTGATGTAGGAGACAGACAGCTGATGTAGGAGACAGACAGTGACCTGATGTAGGAGACAGACAGTGACCTGATGTAGGAGACAGACAGTGACCTGATGTAGGAGACAGACAGTGACCTGATGTAGGAGACAGACACCTGATGTAGGAGACAGACAGTGACCTAATGTAGGAGACAGACAGTGACCTGATGTAGGAGACAGATGCCTTATGTAGGAGACAGACGGTGACCTGATGTAGGAGAGAGACACCTTATGTAGAGATAGACATCTGATGTAGTGAAAGAAAGATTTTAGATATATATACACCAAACAGGAATCTAAAACTGACACTGTAGATGGATGCTCATTACCTGGGACAGGTGTCTATTTCAGCAACATATAATTTATCCTACCCTGTGATTAAGTTTCAATTCACACCAGAACTATTGGCTTGTGATTGGCACTGTCCCAGATTTCAATATAAAATCTGTTCTTTATACTAAAGTATAGAATTTATACTGCTAAATGAATACAATAAGTAACAATTACTTCATGTGAATATCTGAATGTTACAGATAAAATCTGTAACGATGACTTGGTGAATGTTAATCAGGTTTTATACAGGAAGGTGCCGTCTAGACTTAATGTACTGTAACGCTAATGTACCAAGACTTTTAAGAAATCTTCCTAAATATCTGATAATGTTCTTCCTGACGTTGGTGTATTCGTCCTTATCAAAGGTTAATTACCTGTACATGTTCATATGCATGGACTGATTAATAGATAACCTAGCACCAGTAACTAAATGCATATACCTACATCCAGGCCATTTGAGCATATAACATTATCAACTTTCATTTTTGAAAATGATATTTTTCACCATATATGTGATAAGTTAAGAACATGATATTTAAAATTAAAACTTACTGAAATACCATGTGTACTAAGAAACCTGGCTTTTTATAAAAATGATGATGTCTTCAAAATTCATGATTTTCTTCCTCTCTGCTTTGGCCCTTTAATGTGTTTGATACCATGTCTAATTTATCTTTATATTGTTTGTTTAATGTAGGTTATGTTCAGGATTAGGAATAAAATATATTCTTTTTTATACCAAATACATAGCTGTAGTAAATAGACATAAATAAATGAAAAAAAAATGTCTTCTTTGAATTGAGATTCAATGTAGGGACCATGGAATAAAAAATGTGAACTCTTAAGCTACCACTTGTAGCCTTTATATTCCATTCGAAAGGAGAAGAAAAAAATGTTCTGCAATAAAGTTTATTTTTTATTCATAATAAATTATCAGAATTCTGTTTAATCTATCAAAACTGTCTGACGTTAGTTAAAAATAAAGTCTATAAATTTTATAAATCACAGGTTTTGGTTGGGAACTTATAAAGATATCTCTCATAGCACGTCAAGAAAGCAGTACTAAACTTTTTTCAGTGAAAACAAAAACAGTATGTAAGAACGAGTGTGTATCATAAAGAATTAAAGTCAGTATCAGTTACCACACAGACGGGCTGCTTAATCCCTAATTATTGTAATACACAGATGTCTACCAGGGCGCCAATATTACCTATAGCCAAGATGAAACCAACTTTTTTCTTCCCTTCCATATTATGAAATATGTCTGAAATCGTGAGTTTCTAGTTAGATATTTTGGGAAGTTTAATTCGGAAGGAATTAAAAACCATGGAAGGTTTGCTTGTGTAAGCCTAATGAGTGACAGGGAGATCATTGAGAACCAACATATTGGTTGGCTGACATCCATTGGCTTAGGCGCTGAGAACACTGTATGGAGAAATTTTGTCTAACCATATTTGACGTAATTAGCACCCCTTGCTGCTTAAGCTCCCTCCAGACGATAACATAGCTCAATGCCTCTTTTATATTCCGATTAGCAGTATAGCAGAAACCCCCACAATTCATGGTGCTCTAAAAGACCCATTCATAAATTTCTCCAGACACTTATAGATTTTTTATTTCAACACTAATCCTATATAACTGTGTATCGCAAATAGAAGTATGTTGGGCTAGATCAGTGGGTCCTGATTAGTTTTACTTGGCACAAACTTTAAAAAAAATCTGTGAAAGTTTACATATATTGAAATTGATATGCTGTAAATAGGAAATGATTCATTTTACTTTTGAGGCAAAAAGCTGAAACTTTTTGCATAAAAAAATCTGACACTTTTGTATTCTTGAAAGGTAGAAAACAATTTTTTAGCTATTCATAAAATATCTGCTTGCGAAAAGCATATATTTGTTGTTATTTTAAAATGTAAACAAAATTCGGTCAGCAAATTTTTTTTTCTTGAAAGCATGGTTAGCTTTACCTCATTTTGTTTTATGTATGTCTATACTCTTATCATATCAATCAATGATTTTAAATGCAAATGCTTTCAAGGTGAGTAACAACCTAGTTATTTGTCTTTGAAAAATTCAGTATGGGATGTAAAAAAGCTAGGATATAAATACCAAAATGATTCTTATAATTTCACATAAATGCAATGAATTTTGCTTTGGTTTTTTATGGGGTTAAATACGGTACCTGTTTACTAATGGAAAGAAATGGAGCAATACATCTCAGTCTAATTGAAGTGACAGAAAGCTCATCGTTTTGATTTCACATCAGAAGAGTCCATACATTAATGTGTAAAAATAAACGTGGATAAATTTCACAACATCAATTTCAGAAAAAATAAAACTTCACAAGAAAGGTTATATGATAATCCTGAATGCAGACGATATTTTTGAACTCTCCAATTTACAAATCAGTAAAGTATAAAAAAGAATGTACATGGAGACAACCTCAATTTTAAATCAGTGTTTGCATCATTCTGCATGTCTTTGATGTGTAACTGACTTTGTAGATTGTCCAAGACATCATTTAAGAGCTTTTAAGTTCCAGCTATGTTGAAGATATATTGTGTCATTTTAATCTTTTTTTTTTATAAATAAATAAATAAAAACAATATTCATTGACGGCAATCAAATTTGTTATCACTTATATTTGATGAGTTGATGTGTTTACACACTGAAAAATATAATGCATGCCAATTCACATGAAAGGCAAAAGGGAAGTAACTCCATCGCTCTAGGCAGTCTAGACATAGACTTCATGGCTTTATGTAGGACAACCAAGTCCATTTTCCAACATAAAAGTCAAAAGAAAAGAAAAAAAACCCAGGAAACAGTTACTTTGTAAAGCTTGAAACACTTTTTACCCGAGAGTAAGACTTTTACCAAGCAACATGTTCTAAGTTTGATTCCATGTGCAGTCATTGGAATAGGCAATGTATGGCTAAATAAACTTACCGAGATATGTGCTACAGATATATTCTGCTATTTGGTTTCCTGACTTGCTAGATTCCGCAAAATGGCTCAATTCTCGATTCAACATCCGCTTAAACTGTGAGAAAAAGAAACAAATGCCTGTATATGGAATTCACTAGCCTTCATATCTTAAATATTTCTGAAAATGACAAAATGAAAACAGCAAGTTCTTGTTTGTCAGGAAAACAAATAAAATCTGCCCAAAGAATGGATATGGCAGAAAGACAATACACCCATACCAGTATTCACCTGACCTCTCGGGGTGAAATAAAAGAAACCCAAAAAAGGATTATTTACAGTTATATCTATATCATTGCACAGAGGAATTTACTCCATTACAACTTACCTACATTGGTCCTTTATATGTACATCATCAATAAACTGTTAGTGTGTACTGCATTATTCACTTTACAATATTTGCGAAACAAGTTTTTCAAGCTTCTTCTTCAGCCTTGGCCTAGATGGGAAGTTGTCTGAATGTGGGAAGAAACTGGAGTGCCCGGGGAAAACCCAGGTGGTCAGGTAGGAGACCTAATACCTTTCCACGTCTTGTTTCAGGAATCGAAACCTAGACGCCTATATGAAATGTGGATGTGTTATCAATGTGTTACCTGACCACCAAACTGAAATCAATTTGTTGTTTCATCAACAGATAATTATGGGTATGTTCAAATCAAAATATATATTTGGCTACACTAGAATACGCCATCATTGTGTAAAATATGACATTTATATTACATAGGTTTGGGATCTCCTTTGTGTATCTCTATAATAACATTTAAAAGATCATGTTGATTTCACTTCTTTAAAAGTATTGTTCCAGACCAAATTATGACTAAAATGGTTTAACACACCTGTACTTTGCTTTCTTTACCTTGTATGAAAGTAAATGGTTAAAATAATTATATTACCATTTCTGCCTTGACATTGCTTAAATGTATTTCAACCTTGTGTTTCAGTCTGAAAATTAAAACACCTTTCCACTTCAGCATTGTTGCAGTGTCAATCAGGCAAGAGGTGGTGCACAGTGTATGTGGAATGCACCTAAAATGTGCATATGGTGTTTTCTCTTTTCAAGTTAGTGTCTTGGGTGATATTTTAAATTTAGCTGCATTTCCATTCAAACATTTTAGGCATAGTTATGCATCCTAGGTTTTATGATATTTTCCAGTTAATAGGAGGTCCAATTAAGCTGAATCACTCACTTATTCTGTACGTAGATTGAAAATGACTTTGTCACCTATGCCAATTTCTGCAAACTTTGATGTTCTTTTCTCAAGCTTACTAACACACAATTACCATGCATGACCCACAGGTTCTTGAAGTTTTAGAAAAAGTTTATTTTAAGATTTTAAAACATTTGACCCATCTGTGACCTTGAATGTAGGTCAGGGTCATTCATTTAAACATGTTAAATGCCTAATATCAGTACACTGGCCATTTGAGTTATTGAGAAGTTGTTTGAAGATTTTAATACATTCAACCCCTGTGACCTTAGTAGTGCATGGGTCAAGGTACCTTAATTCATTTGAAGAAACTTGGTAGTAATTCATCCTAGTATAATCCATTTATTGAACCCTAGGACATTTGGTTTTTGATAAGGAATGGATACTGGACAGACATTGAATGCTGTGCCTTACTGTCCTTTGGGCCTTTCTGGTTTGTGTTAATTTGATAAAATGCTTACAGTATTGACTTAATGGATACATGGTTTGAAGTTTACTATGGATTACAGATAGGAAATATTTAAATGGTGGATCTTTATTTCTAGCGTCAACAGCCAAAAGGGAGCTAAGCCTACCTTGCTGGATGCCATGTCACTAACAGACCGGTGAGTCTGGATGGTTTCTAGCTGGTCAAGGCACCAGTCAAGTTCTTCTAAGGTATCCATGGCCAGCTTGGTGTAGTTCTCATCTGAAAAATCAAATTAAGGATAAGTTTCATGTTTATTGATTGATAAAAGAATAAAACCTTAAAACTTAAACACGCAATATAGTGTCCTTTACTGACAGGTGACCTGTATAAGGGAATGTTCCTTATATAGAAGCAACCTCAACAGAAAAGAGACCTCTGTAGAGGAATTACCCTTACGGAGAAGTGACCCCTACAGAACAACTGACTTCTTAAAGGTAGTGACCCCCATATATACAATGAAGAAGTGAATCCTGCAGACAAGTGATCACTATAGTGAAATGGTCTCTATATAGAAGTGACCACTACAGACAAGTGACCTCTATAGTGGAAAGCTCCCTGTACAAATGTGACTCCTAGAGACAAGCAATCTCTACATTGGAATGCTCTTTATACAGAAATGACCCTATAGACAAGTGAATTACATAGAGGACTGCTCCCTTTATTAAAGTGACCCCTACCGACAAGTGACCTCTATAGGGGAATACTCTCTATATGGAAGAGACCCTTACAGACAAGTGACCTCTATAGGGGAATACTCTCTAAATGGAAGTGACCCCTACAGACAAGTGACCTCTACCATTCTGATTTTTACAGACAGGTGACTAATTACCGAAGAGAAATTGTAGTAATGGGTCAATGAATAGACAGATGACTTTAAGGAGAAATAGACATAAGTACTTTCTGATCAATAATAATAATAATCCTTAATGCTTGAAATCCAAGCCTCACAGTCATTTTTGTTTTCTCTTTCAAAAGCAGTCTCAAACTTTCACCAACACAAGAGGCCCAATGGACCTGCATAATTCACCTGGTATTCAATGCTCAACTCAAATACATGCCCATTTCACACCACTGTCTTAAAATTTAAAAAAGCCTCATCTCACGAGTGTATCCTTGAAATATGATGCTTCAATGCCTTCTGGCAGTTAATCAAATATTATTTACAAGGTTGTTACAAAATATACCCCTGTGACCTTGAATATGGGTCAAGGTCATTTCTTTTCCAGATAATTGTCAGCCTTTATCTCATGAAGCGATCAGACAAATATAATGCTTTAAGGCATTTTGGTCGATCAGAAGAAGTTGTTTCAAGGTTTTATCAAATTTGACACCTCTAACTTTGAATAGAGATCAAGGTCATTTTATTTTACAAACTTTGTTGCACTTCATCCTTGGTACATATCAGCAAATATTATACTTCTGAATGTTTTGATTAATCAGAAGAAGTTGTTGTAAGTTTTTAACAGATTTGACTCCTGTGCACTTGAATATGGTCATGGTAATTTCTATTTGCAACCTTTGTTGGGCTTCATCCCAGCAAGCCAAATACCAAGACATTTGGTCAACTAGTCATTGACTAGAAGTGGTTTAAAATAAAATGTTTATGCTAAACAGATGGATGACAGACAAAAGACAACAGATGGATAACAGATGTCTTGCCGCAGCATAAGCTGCCTTGACCTTTTGGGCCAGGTGAACTAATAACCAAGGATCAGAAGGAACCTTCAAATAGTACTGGAGAAATACTGGGCCTTTATTATGAGATTTAACAAAGGAGCAGAGATCCAAGGTCAGAAGAACATTTACATTCAACACTAGAAAATTTCTTTAACTTATTGGTATGATATCTGGTTTCCTTTTCTTGACTGGGTATGACCTGACTGCAGTTCAGTGACATAATAAAAGGATTAATTAAGGTCAATGTCCTCCTTTACACTAAGCTAGTTTCAGCCAACCTTGATCACGACCACGACATATCCAACCCCTGCTGTTCATTATTCCATAGCCTAGTGCAAAAGCTGTCCTGTTTTTAATTCTAGCTAAGCAGTGAAAACCAATGAATGTACTGATGGAAAACTCTCAGCAATTTGCTTTAAATTCATTTTACAATTTTACGTCATTTCATACACGTTTCTGACCACTCTCATTTCCTGGCAAACCTTTGTTATGTTATTTTTCCTGTAATAAACCCATGGAACCAACACATTAATGCCCCTACCACTGAGTCATGGCTCTCTAAAAACACGATGGAATGAGATTTGTTGGTAATTTTTCTAAACAGCAGTATAGTTGGTTGGAATTATTACCAGGCAAGGGCTTTTTCTGGGATAATTACGGTACCATATATGTTCTGGAAACTTTTAAACAATGTAAATGAAAATTGTTTTAACGACAGAAAAGCCACACATATGTGAGACATAACATAGATATGCCATTACACATCAGTGACATGCATGTTATTTAGGAACATGACAAAACTTCCTTCTGGTCAAATTACTAACTTGTCCATCTCGTCATAGCTGTCATACCATCTCTTCCCAATGCAGACTCATGAGATTTATCAAAGGTATGAATAATCAGACCTGTGGTGCTGTACTCTAAGGTCAAACTGTCAAATAAATGGCAGATACTTGACGACTTTAACTTCACATGAAATAAAGTCACAGGGAACAATGATGTCATGAAAAATGAGGAAACAGAAGTTACCTTAGACATGTCCATTGGTGGTGAAAAATTAACAAAGAATGTCTATTTTAATTATTTTGATGTAAGAGAGGAAGAAAGATTTAATTAAACCACAAATAATGAGAAGTTGTTCACCATCAAGATATCCTGTGTATAATTACATTACAATACAATACAAGTATGATATTCCAAATTGTGAATGAAATATACTGACAACCTTGCAACATGTCTGTTGTTTTCTGTCATATTCTTTTGCAATAGATGCCTTCTTTGCACTCTCTTTCAATATTCATTGAACTGAATAATATTTGGTATTCAGTCTGATCTGGTATGAGACTATTGTGAATAACGCAGCTGAGAATGACAATGATTCTATACACACAGGCTGTAATCTGGGCTACGAACTCGAGATTCATCTCAGCTCTCATCCAAAACGACCGGCTGCAATTTACATTTTACTGTTCATGATAGTTATAAAACGTGTCACAAAATATAGAGAATCTTTAGATGGGAAGCCATGCAGCATAATTGTTACATAAAATGAGACATTCGTATCTATAAATTACCAAAGTGTCAGGAGCACTTTTCCCTTTCATTTTCATCCGCAACAATAAAAGGAAAAGAAAAAAAAGTAATAAAAATGAAGTCAAATGTGAAAAAATCAAATCAAATGTTTTGATGTGTTTGAGGTTGATAATTTTCACAGACTACACATGCTAATGAATACCAAGCTGCCTTAAATAAATCTAATAATTTGACGATACATCTGAGTGAGCTAGACGTTTGACAGTTATCATTTCTCTGGTGCTAATGAATGAGAAGCAGAATTGAAGATGAAGACAATCACGAAAGGATAAGTTATGGAATTAGCCATAAGCTGTGTATGCCCAGCAAGGTATATGTGAGGAAGTGATAGAAGGATCACCGCAATATTGATCTGCAGAGACCTTCACTGTTCCATCAGAAATGAAGCAGCAATGTCGATTTTCACACAACCGGTTTCTCTATAATCAAGCCAAATATTCACCAACATCGACTGATGCTGATGGACACTTATCTTATACTGCTGTCATTCTTAAATATATTAGACTCTTTTCTCCTGATTTTTCCCATTGTTCATGAAATTTAATAACTATTCTACTTCAATAATTTCCATAGGCATATACACAGTTGATAACAACACTCAATTTTTAACAATGTTCATTCACACACATTTAAATAACAAAAATAGAGAATGTCCTTAAAATATGTCCCTGCTACTATGCAAATCAATTTCTTCCTCAGTGAGGATGATCTTGACCTTTTAATATTGCTTTCTGACAAATAGTTACAAGATATCAAATTTCAAGATGGCCACTTGTCAACCAAGACAATTTGCCAACCAATTAACAAAATCATAATTGACCAAGGGACACTGTCATTCAAGATCTGAGAATGACCCATCCTATGTTTCTCAGGAATTATCCTTCTTCATTAGTCTGACTATAACCCAGCCTAATTTACCATTTTATTTTTTAGGTCGGTTTCAAAATTTAACAAATAATCATAAGGGACCTAGACAAATCCATCCAGTCCTTAAAATTTGCTTTTTTTTTCTTTTCTTTTTGTATTTGTTTTTTATTTTGATAAATCTCAAAATAAAGCAGGAATCTCTATGGACCAAGAGGAACTGACAAATAAAATTGGGGAAACTTAAAATTTTTAAAGAAATAAGGATAACAAGAATTGTTTAAAGAGGTATAATGGGTCATGGAAAATGGCAATTTGAACAATTAAGCCACCATTTGTGGTATTTTATATGTGATTGGGCCAGGTATTACTATAGAGATGTTGGACCTATACAAAATAAAAAAAACAGCAAGATGTTTCTCTCTATAAAAAAAAAAAAAAGATGAAAGCTTATAATAAATAATAAATCACAGGAAAAAGTAAGTAAAAATATGGTTACATATATCTGTATTGTTATAGATGTATAGTTTCAGCAGATGATATATATTGGTCAATCCAAAGTCAAATGTACCAGGTATGGTATTGCAGCAGCACAACAATGGAGCTGAATAATTGTTGGACAGGTGTTGATGAAATGACCACGACCGTAAACCAATCAGGTCACACAACAATACAGGAAACTAAGTACTTCTGTAATAAATATCTCTGATATTGCAATTTTTATTAAGGCACTGAAAAATTGATGTACAACTATATTTTGTCTGTGACAGACACTAGAGAATTAGCTATTATTTGCCTGAAGCAGAGAGAATAGCTGTTGGAAGTTGTCACTGGCAAATGGCTTGACAAAAGATGTAATTTGCCAATAAGAGAAGATTTGAGATTTTTGTAATTGTCAATTACAGAAGACATGAGATTCTATTATTTTCCAGATACAGACAGCACAGGTATCATAATTTGCTGTTTGTATAAGAGATGCTTGCAGTAATTTGCCCAATTTGTCAATATATCTATATTTTTGCATTGTTTTTTTTTTCTTCTTTATATCATTTTACAGCTCATTAACAATCTATTAAGTAAACAAAGAGTGATTGCCATTATGAAAAAAAAATCATGTAATTTGTTATTGGAAGACACCTAAAGTAGAAATAAAACACCAGGACATTGCCAATAGTAGAGAGGATGATGAGTAAAATAAGTAATAAAAGACACAGGTGGAGACAGCACTGAAAACTGAAATAATAGGGTGTCCATACATGTCAGGCGGCATACATCCTTAAACCTCATGTCACAGTAAGGTTTCATAAAGCATTAAGTTGCCATGTAGCATATAGCCTTAAGTCACTATTAGACCGTGAGGTAATACAGGTTTAAGTCACCCTATTACAGTAAGGTAATACAGCTTTAAGTCACTGTATTACAGTAAGGTAATACAGCTTTAAGTCACTGTATTACAGTAAGGTATTACAGCTTTAAGTCACTGTATTACAGTAAGGTAATACAGCTTTAAGTCACTGTATTACAGTAAGGTAATACAGCTTTAAATCACCCTATTACAGTAAGGTAATACAGCTTTAAGTCACTGTATTACAGTAAGGTAATACAGCTTTAAGTAAGGTAATACAGCTTTAAGTCACTGTATTACAGTAAGGTAATACAGCTTTAAGTCACCCTATTACAGTAAGGTAATACAGCTTTAAGTCACTATTAGACCGTGAGGTAATACAGCTTTAAGTCACCGTATTACAGTAAGGTAATACAGCTTTAAGTCACCGTATTACAGTAAGGTAATACAGCCTTAAGTCACTGTATTACAGTAAGGTAATACAGCCTTAAGTCACTATTAGACCGTGAGGTAATACAGCTTTAAGTCACCCTATTACAGTAAGGTAATACAGCTTTAAGTCACTGTATTACAGTAAGGTAATACAGCTTTAAGTCACTGTATTACAGTAAGGTAACACAGCTTTAAGTCACCATATTACAGTAAGGTAACACAGCTTTAAGTCACCGTATTACAGTAAGGTAATATAGCTTTAAGTCACTGTATTACAGTAAGGTAATACAGCTTTAAGTCACTGTATTACAGTAAGGTAACACAGCTTTAAGTCACCATATTACAGTAAGGTAATACAGCTTTAAGTCACCATATTACAGTAAGGTAATATAGCTTTAAGTCACTGTATTACAGTAAGGTAACACAGCTTTAAGTCACCATATTACAGTAAGGTAACACAGCTTTAAGTCACCGTATTACAGTAAGGTAATATAGCTTTAAGTCACTGTATTACAGTAAGGTAATACAGCTTTAAGTCACTGTATTAAAGTAAGGTAACACAGCTTTAAGTCACCATATTACAGTAAGGTAATACAGCTTTAAGTCACCGTATTACAGTAAGGTAATATAGCTTTAAGTCACTGTATTACAGTAAGGTAATACAGCTTTAAGTCACCATATTACAGTAAGGTAATACCGCTTTAAGTCACCATATTACAGTAAGGTAATACAGCTTTAAGTCACCCTATTACAGTAAGGTAATACAGCTTTAAGTCACTGTATTACAGTAAGGTAATACAGCTTTAAATCACCATATTACAGTAAGGTAATACAGCTTTAAGTCACCGTATTACAGTAAGGTAATATAGCTTTAAGTCACTGTATTACAGTAAGGTAATACAGCTTTAAGTCACCATATTACAGTAAGGTAATACCGCTTTAAGTCACCATATTACAGTAAGGTAATACAGCTTTAAGTCACCCTATTACAGTAAGGTAATACAGCTTTAAGTCACTGTATTACAGTAAGGTAATACAGCTTTTAATCACCATATTTAAGTCACCACCGTATTACAGAAAGGTAATACAGCTTTAAGTCACCGTATTACAGTAAGGTAATACAGCTTTAAGTCACCGTATTACAGTTAAGTAGTACATAGCCTTAAGTCACTATTACAACGTAATGTTACATATAGATTTTATGTGACAGTAATTAAGACAAAAAGTCACAATGATACTGTAAGGTAGCATACAGCCTTAAAGCACCATGATATAGTAAGGTAACTTACAACCTTAAGCCTGTTACAGAAGGGAAGTTCAAATTAAACTTACCTGCCAGTTTGTTGTTCTGTGTAGAGTTTTGACAGTTAGTTTGGGACGTTTTATTATGAGCATTGTGTGGACTGTTGGTTGTGGCGGCACTGCCTCTCGTCCTGTAAAAAGATACACAAAGACGATGCAGAAATGAGATGGACAAGACAAAATAACATCAAAACATTCTAAAAGTCTTACAGTACCATATGGAATGATTGAGCAAAATTTTACCATCAACTCAATACAGTTTTCAATTACTTTTATTTATGATATCTGTCAATAAAACTTTAGACACACTTTCAAATTAGGCTTCGTGGAAAATACTTCTACCTCATGAAAAGCCAAAGAGAAAATCTTAAACATCTATATATGTCATAAAATGACCATTCAACCCCATATATAGTTGTAAGCTGCAATAAATTCTAAAGATGTGTGGGAGGAATTTCTTAATATCAGAATTGTGAAATAGACCATGGTATTGATGATATCTTCTGAAATAAGAACTGGAACAATTGGCGCCGATTTCTGGATCGGTTCTTGCCATGTGTTGTTACGTGGGAGAAGTATTGATCTGAGAGGAAGTGTCAGCAAAAGAATTTTCCCATTAAAAAAAGAATTGAATGCCTGTGACATTTCAGTAGCAATGTAAGCCCAACTGTGCAACACAAAAGAGTTTGACTGAGCTGTATAGTGTATCGAGCCCTGGCAAGGTATTATGAAGAATAAATAGATCCTATGTTATACAGCCATGACATATATAACTGTATACCACAGAAATCTACAAAATTGATCTGGTGAAATTGATACGATACATACATTGTTATCCTATTACAGATGAAACAAGAATTGAAGTATACAGAAGTTTAGCTAGATTTTACCCAGGACCATAATTATATTAAGTGGATTCTATGATATTGGATATTATTGTATCTGGTATGTTATGATATTTTTTCAATGTACAGAATATTCCCTATATGAATTAAACAAATTAAGAAAAAGGTTTATTATGGTATTGTCCAATATGAAATATCAGTTTTTATGATATTCTTTCTACCAAAATCAATTTTTGTAATCTTTAACCCTAGACAAGAGTGCGTATTTGACACCTGATGTGTTCCTGTGATACTATTTATTTGTTAATTATAGCCCAAAGTGCCTCTAAGTGCCTCTAAGTACCCCTAGGTGGCCAGTCCCACCTGTTACAGGTAAGTTTTATTCTTTGCTATTAAGAAACAGTAGATATCAAGTCGCCTACATGTTACAGATTGGTCAACCAAAACCTTCAGTCAGTACGGATTACATGAACAAGATTCCTAATTAGGCCATAACAATTAGAACAAATGCACTTACAGAGGGATAAGAGGATTTATCAAATTAACTTGGAGTATAGATATGTTTGCATGTCAAAATTAGCTTAGAACAACGTTTTGACACATGTGATTGTCATATGATTGTTGCGACTTTTTTCGCGAGGCAAAATGTTATTGATGTTTCTAAGAGCCTGGAAACAGATTTTCACAGCAAAACTGCCAAATCATTATAAAACGGTAATGATAAGCTTTATACCTGTGCCTAACTGAATATTGCATGACAGTAACCTATTCTGCCTTCAATTCAACTTGGTTCTTAGTTGAACTGAATGGAATTAAAAGTGAAAGTAGCAATTATTCTGTGTCTGATATATATCAGTCGGCACTGATAACAGTAATCTTTCATGTTTATTTTACTTGTTACAAAATGCAGTTTTCCACTGATATTACCTTGCTTTTTATCTCTGTTTTATTTTGTAATAAATTAGACTACTATGATAGTCTAACTTCCGGTTCCATTACTTAAATAGTTCTCTTAGTTATAATAATATACCATCTGTTATAATATTTTCATCTGGAAAATAGGATATCATAATAGGTAGGTTTCACTGTATAACTTCAATGACAGGAAAAATATTCTGGGTGAGTGGGGTGAGCTTTAAGTATCAGTTAAAGCAAGTTATTATGGATGACAAGGTCAAAGGTCAAGGTCACAGATAAGATATGCATGGATCTATGGTCCAATGATAGAGAGGCATACAAACATGAATGTTTATATGATAACTTTCCCTCCTCAAGTGGCCTGTACTTGAAACATGATGTATATTACAAACAGACAATGCTATTACTATTGGCTCTGTACTGTTTTTCAAGAAACTTAAAATTTAAGTTGCAAATGATTTGTCAGAACTACCACTCCAATGATCAGGAAAATATCTGACATTAACTGCTGAACAATATGTTAATAGTAGGCTATAGTTCACACATAGGTTAACATTAGTACAAGCATTTATAGGAAGCATTTATAAGATGGGCAAGTGTTTCTCCATAGGTACAAGCTCTGAGTAAGAATCTGCAGTTGCTTGAATCAATAAGTTAAATGCTCCAGAAAGATTTTCTCACTTAAAACTTGAAGTACTCACATCACTTCACATACTGGAAGAATTTATATCTTATCTCATTTTATCTCAAATAAATCATTATCACATCAATAGAGTCTAAAAACCAAATATGGTTTGATAGTGAGCCTTCTGGGTTCAGCAGACTAGTTACAGCAATATTCAAAGCAGTTGTTATCTAGCTATCCCTCAATAAGAATACACTGATACAATTATAAACACAAGTCATCAATATAGATTTTTTCTTTGCTATCCTGACCTACTTCTCCTACTACATAATTCTAATCAAAATTAATTGAAACATATTGTTAAAAATGATGTATGATGACATTGTAATTAATAACACTGTTTGAACCTTTGTATCACAAGTACTGATAGCTCCCATTACTGTATCAACTTGTGTCTGAGCCTCAACAGAAGCGAGACAGCTGACATGTCATTGGAATCTTAATTCTAACTCAAAATCTATGAAATGTGGGCAAAAAACATTAACAAAAGAAAGATTACACAGAAAATTCTGAAAATATTATACAGAGAATATGACCAGGTATTCTAGAAGGGTTAGCATCTTCTGCTTCATAAGAGACACCTACCATGTAAATATTGATCAAGCCAAGTATGTCATGTCATGTTCTTTAATGAGAACAAGGTTAAACCATGCGGTATAGTCATGAACATGAAACATTACAACTCATATTATACATTTTGGAAAATAAAATATTTCTAAACGATGTCACGGTGGACACCTGAAAACTTCCTCGATGTAGTCTCTATCAACTAGCATCTCTAGAAAGCCTTTGTTGTAGAGTGTCAAGATAGGTCTATATTATTTACCTAATTGTTGTTCTAGTTTACTGTCTTTACATATAAAATGATAAAAAGATATGTAAACAAGACCTAATCAACCTATTGGAGATAGAAACCATAGAAGTGTACCACTGATATACTTACATACACATTCCGCATAGACTGTATATACACCCCATATAGGGCCTCACATCTCCGAATATAGGTCACAGCTACCCATCAAATACACATGTCCAATTCAGACACTCCTCAAATACCAATTATAATGGGTAACATCACTTTTTGTGTGTAATCTTTACAAGGTATTAACACATCAGTTGGTAGGCAAAGCTCCTGTGTTGGCAGGTATAACTACCACACAATCAGGTTAGGAGCACGAAAAATCACTACCCTGCATTTGACAAAATCCTTATCTTGATGTATGGAACGATGAGTTAGTTTAAAAGGTTCTATTGGAAGATGTTATCAGTTACACTATATTGTAACATATGTCATAATCAGTTTTTGTGTATAATCCCTTTACAAGGCAATTATCAGACACACTACCACCAAATGCATGAAATCATCAGTTTTCGTGCACAATCCAATTATAAGACATTTGTCGTGTATACACATATGACATCATCATTTTGTGTACATATTGCAAGTAACAGCTGTCCAATAACTCAAGGTTACAAAAATGTTATTTCAAAAGAAAAAAAAAACCTGCACACAGCTGGTATCTTAGAAAGTCCAGTGTCACATCCTGAATAGTAATTCCAAAATCTGAACTCAAGTTTGAAATCAAATTTCTATTTCACCCTTAGTAAACCATACAATTTTTTGTCTTCAAAACAGATTTATGAAAACTTCTTTCAAAGAAAAATTTGGTGAATTTCATTAAAGTTTTGAACTCATACAGAGTGAAAAAAAAAATCCTGGTCTGTTGATCTGAATTCGAAGTATTTGCTTATATGTCAACGTTGTCAAGATGAAAAATCCACAAATAAGGAGAAATAAGCTTCTACAGCATGTTCTAGACATCTGGTACATCCATTGTAACCATCCACTGCTTATAAGCAGTTACAAGTCAACAAGACAGGGTAAAAACAGGCTTGCTCAAACATTCTTGGCTTGTGAACATTGCGGATTTTTTCCCTCATCACTAGCTCATAATTGGCTTCTGAAGATCTGTATCTATATTCTGTGTTGACTTGGAGTGTTTTCCATGTACTGTAAGTCTGAGCACGGTAGAAAGCAAGCTATAATTGGTCAGTAATTAAGCTGATTCCCTCACAAAGACCTTATCTATCCATACTATATTCATCCATGTAAATTACAAACAATTGTTTGTTGAGTTCTTCAGCATGACAATTTGACAGCACCAGATATTGTGGTTGTACAAATTTAGGGTTGTCTCCCCACACTAAATTCAAATACAGGTTAATGTTTTGTCTGACATGAAAAAAATTACCAAAATTGCATGATTGTACTTTTTCACTGGAATACACATGATTTCACCATTATTCCAGAACAAATGAGTTTATTCAAACACTAGATCCTTCAGAGCTAGGTCCTTTGCAGAAACAGGACTCCTGTTCCACAACACAAATCCTAGCTCACATCAACATGCAAAAATAATCCTCAATAGTTCCAGTGTCTTGCTTGTTTCCGGAATACTTTCAATATTTGATAAATGTTTTCCAAAAACAGTCTTCCTTAAATCACAAAGAATTTATATCAAATCCAAAAGATTTGAATTTAATTCTTTGGTTGTTACCTGTCAAAAGTGTGAAAAAAAAATATTAATGAAAATTTCTGTATAACCTAATATTTTTTTCCAAACATGTCTTGATGCTTATTCTAGCAATTTCTGTCTACTGACTTCTCATGCCATTTTACATA